TATTCTAACAATAAAAGAAAATATTTTCAACAAAGTGTATTGCACATTAACAAGGAAGAATTTAAATTTTAAAAAAATATATCAAAAACCAGAATCTTAGGTACTTTCCTATTCTAGTGAAGTCCAGGAAATAGATAATGATACTGTTATCTTTTGTGCTAGGTTACCTTGAGGGTTAAATTGTTTACTCTAGTTTTATGCCTATTTTTCTATTTCTTTAGTACATAAAAACATATATATATATATATATATATACAAATTTAAAATTGATAATCTTCATATGAAATTATAAAGAATAAAATCTTTTAACAATTTTACCATCAAATTACTCTATGATAAAAATGCAATTTAAGGAAAACTACAATTACACAAAGGTATTTTTCTTTTCTTCTAAATATGTTGAAACAATTACGTTTAATTGTATTATACTTAATAATAAATGGTTAATTTAGTACTTCAACCTTAAACATAGTCCAGCAAGTGCTATAGTAAATTAATGGTATTAAGAGAAGAATAGTTGGGGTGGTCAGTCAAAAATAAATGATAATATTTATTTTACATATGCCGACGTTTCGATCTGAAGTTCAGGCCACCATCAGGGCTAAGAAAAGATATCTGGTTCTTTTCTTAGCCCTGATGATGGTATGAGAAGTATAAAAATTATAGTAAAATGAAGTTGTTAGAATAATGACAATAGTAAGAACAAGAGACAAATAATAATAACAGGTACACAGTGTGGAATGATGAAGTAAACATAGTCAAAAAAGGTGACATAAGTATTGTAAAGGGAATCTTAGAATAAAATGTAAAACTGAAAAATATGAAGTTATATAAGAAATGAAAATAAATAGTAAAATTAAGATATAGGTTCTTTTCTTAGCCCTGATGATGGCCTGAACTTCAGGTCGAAATGTCGGTATATGTTAAAATAAATATTATCATTTATTTTTGACTGACCACCCCATTATTCTTCTCTTCATTATCCACGACAGTCAACCATTTACCAATTATAATGGTATAATTAGTTGTTTATAAGTTTAATACTTTAAATAAATCATAGCTTTATTTCATAACTTGTATTTAAAAAAAATTGTTTTTATAGGTTTTAAAAAAGTGATAACTACTGAACTTTTAAAAGTCATTATTTTATAAAATAGAAGTTACTTATTATTCGATAATAAATTAAACTATATAGTTGTATCTTATAAAAAAAAATAACTTAATTTTGAACTAAATGAATCAAAAAGGGAAAAGTTTTAATATCAATGATAATGATGATACTAGAACAATGTTCGATCTTGTTTACAAAACAATGAATTAATCTGGCATATGGTGTAAATATATCAGAAAATGTTATATTTGAAAAACAATATTGTTTCAGTATTTCATATATTTTGATTAGTATCATCATTACAGAAATTAACTGTTTCATCTTCACGTTTTCATAGAATCACAAAAATAAAAATTATATATAACATCTTAGCCATTTAATAACGATTAGTAAGGTAAAGTATATCAACACAAATGATATAACTAAAAAATTAACGAGTGTAATAAAGCAGTTATCTATCTGCTAAAAACTAGCTACAATAGGAAAGTACCAAAACTTACTAATAATAATATTTATCAGAAACACAAGTCAACTCGATAAAACATCAACATGTATAAATATATTATATTTATATAAACATAATTTCTATTTACAAATTCGAATATATATATATATTTATGTATATGTGCTAGGATATAAAAAACAATAGATGCATTTGTTTTATTCAAATACAAATGTAACGTGCGACCAGAGCACATCGAGAATTGACTAGGCATAAAAACTATGTCAACACTTAGTAACACATTTAATAAACGGCTGAATATGACAAAACTCAAGCAATGCTAAGACTAGCCTAAAAAATGGTCCACTAGTTACAGTTAACTGGGAAATAGAAGAAAAAAATAAAATAAATAATTGGAAAAAAAATAAGATAAGGAATAGGAAAAGCCGTTCTTGGCACATTATTTCAATTGGTAATGTGATGTAGATTTTTAATAAGAAAAATTAAGTAAAAAAATATTTAATGATACATAACAAAAATAATTATCATAATTTACTAAATTAAAAATAAATAAATAATTTCACTGAATAAAATTTATGGGACCGGACTTAAAAGTATTTACATTTTTTTTTTTTTACTTATATAGCAAAATGAAAGTTTTAGTTTGTTTCATAACATTAAGAAGCAAATAAAACAATTCATTTTTCACATTTGAATTCTTTTAAAAAATAACATAAAATTTAAAAAAATATTTTCTTCTCTGCTTGCTTAATCCATATTTAAAATAGTAAAACTGCAAGAATACCCATAAAAATAATCATATTCCCAATGAAATTGTGACATTTTCTACAAGTGTTCAGTAGAAGTGAAAAAATTGTCAACTTTTTATTAAATCCATTCATCATTTAACTCACTTTATTCATAATTTTTTTTTTAAATTGGAAAACAGCAATTCACTTTGCAAAAAAAAAATATGTCGTTATACCATTTTTTCAGTTACGTATAAGTCCGGTCCAGGATCTTGATTGAATAAGAAATTTCCGTTATTTTATCACGAACAAATGTCTAATTAATTAAAGAGAATTTACTAAACAGGGTGTCCAGCAATATAGCATGAGAAAATTTAAGGATCTCAAGGCGGTGAACATTAACATTCGTCAAAGGCTTTTCACCAATTTAATTAAAATAAATTTATACTTATTAAATTTGAATCATTACAAAGGTTATATTCCCCTTTGACAAAGAGAAATGGTTATCTAACTTCTAACACTGAGGGTTGAATCTATCGCCAATATCAAGCGTAAACATAAATAAAATTCACCACGATTTTATTCACGAAAACAAAAAATATATTTTCATTTCTTTTAATTTATTGTATATAATTACATATAACCAAGGAAACATATTTTTAGACTAAAAAAATTAAAAATTATATAGTGAAACCTACCAGTTTATTTGGTTAGACGGCATTTTTTTTTTTTTTTTTTACAAATTAAGGTGGAGCATGGGCCCATTTTATTTATTTATTTTTTTGGATTGTTTATTTTTAAGAGTAACAACTTCTCTTAAAATTGTTGCTAAATTTTAATAAAAAAATGAAATAGACTGAAAACTGATTTTTTTTTCAGATGCAAAAAATTTAAAGCAAAGTTAAGGAAATTCCGGACACCCCAATTATAGAACGATAAAATTAATTAACACTTTGGAGATGAGAAAATAATTTTATATTCCAATGCAAAATCTCACTTTTTTTTTTTTTTTAATTATTTTTATTAAGTTTTTTGTCAACTTCTAATTTTTTTTAACAATATAAATAATTATCGTAATATAAAAAAATAATAATAACACTAATGAACATATATTACAAGGTTTTAGAAATACATCATTCGACAATTACAATGAATTCGTTACGAAGATGTCTTGGCAAGGAAACTTTATTAGTTTTTTTTTTTCCACTGTGGTTATATCTAAGCATGCTCATTATTAAAAAATAGTTAAGATTTTTGTTTCATACTATTTACATAAATGATACTTGTATTACTTATTTTAATGATATCACTCGATAGACAGACAGGGTTTCATTACTGGAATAAATGAACTAATGGATTAAAAAAAAAAAAAAAGAGGTACGAAGTTCTAATAATAAAACATTATAAAGACAAAAACAATAGATCCAGAAATAAACAAGTTAACAATTAGTTAGTGTATTTACAATGGGTAAATTTAAGATTTTGCAAAGGACGTGACAAATATGTTTTAATTTATAATAAAGTTCAATAAAAGTTATACAACACATTCAGTTAATAAATAAAAAGAAAACAATAACAATAAAAAAATATATATTATATAAAGATGATACTAAGTGTTTCTTTTTTTTTTTTTTTAATTATTCATATTGGAAGATTTGTTATAGTTATACAGTGAATGAGCAAAACATTACAAATTTTTATAAATTAATATAATAATTACATCTTCTACAAGACTCGTGGTATAATTTACAGGAAATGATTTTAACATTTAAAAATAAGTACTTCTGACAAAAATAGCAGCATTGATTTAATATGTTCCAAATTTACGATATATATATATATATTGCACTCCTCAATTCAATTTATAGGGGGGTGAATCCGCCCTCATTAAAAAACAGCCTCTACAGGGCACCTTAAAGATCGAAATCCATAGAAACATATTGAATCAACGACAAAACCCCACTTATTATATCTCAATTCTTCTTCTCTTAACATATCAAATTTTTAATTTACACATGTACAATTACAAAATAAAGTTGCACAATCGGCACCTTTGCACTATTCGAAAGACCTTGTAATTTGTTTGTATTGCGATTTAATAACTAATATGACACTGATATTTTTTATTTTTATTTTATCTTTCTCTTGACAATCTGCAAACACTGCAGGCGATTTGCACACCTCTAAATCACAGCTATATACCTTCACTGAAAATTTAATCTGAGATTCAGAAAGATAAGAAAATAAGTTCTGATAAATAATTAACTAAAAATTGAAAAGAAAAAAAAGGAAGTTAATATTATCTACAACCATGTAACTAAAACGGGCAGTTTAAATAAGTATTTACACTTCAATTCAATGGACCTCGATACTGTCAAACAACATGAGTTAATCTTTTGGCATTCTTATTGTAATAGTCGAAACAATACGAAACACAGTCTTCTGGCACAGATATATCCGTTTCACCAAGTGTACAAATTGATAATAATAAAATAATTACACATTCTAACCAGAACTTTCTTGAAATAATCTTACTGCAGTTACAAAAGAGGTAGTGTTGTTTTCACTCCTAACTGTTCTTTAGTATTCTTCCTAGCTGTAAAAAAAAATTAGATTTTTGACACTTGATTTTTAGATACATACCTTGTCACGTTTCATGATCAGGTAGGTAAACATGAATTAACCTTTACAACCTGCCTCATACGGATATTTCATAGTTCATATCGTAGACAGAAGCTCTGTCGGGAGTAGGAGTGGTGCCCCTACGTTCTTGTACAGCTGACTGCTGCATTTCGAGAGAATCTGAAACCTCGAGGGCCCTGACAAAAGACATGGGTCTCCTCCCCGATGGTGTTGCAGCTTTCCTCTTAGCCTGAGGCGATTGATGGTGATAAGCAGGCTGAGGCGGTGGACGATAGTATCCACGCCCTGTTGGACTAGTAGGATTGGATCTATACTGATCGTATCCTGAGGGAGAAGTATCTTTCCATGTATAAACACCCCTCTGAGGCGAACCGGCTAGTTCTCTTATATTATCTACCGTGTTATTAGTCCTTGAGTAACTGCCGGAACCGTCACCACCCCTTAACAGTTCTCCTTCGGACAGAAACCTCCTTTGAGGGCTTCCACCAGCGCCGTAATAACCATTACCTCCACTCGTTCCGTTGCCAGGTACCCCGATAAAATCTGGCCTCCTAGGCTGTGTTGGGGTTCCGGGATTTGATCTGGAAATATAACAATCATAAGAATTTCATAATCGAGTATTATAATAATTGTGGGTAAATGGTTGATTGTCAAATAGTTGGGGTGATCAGTCAAATAAGAAGGCAAAAATAAATGATAATATTTATTTTGACATTTGCCGACGTTTCGACCTGAAGTTCAGGCCTTCATCAGGGCTAAGAAAAGAACCAGATAACAAGGTATGAGAAACATAAGTAGTGTAGGTAAAAAAAAAAATTAAAGTAAAATGCAGTTGTTAGAATAATGACAATAGTAAGAACTAAGAGATAAATAATAATAACCGTTACAAAGTGTGGAATGATGAAGTAAACATAATCAAAAAAGGTGACATAAGTATTAAAATGGGAATCTTAGAATAAAATGTAAAACAGAAAAAAGAAATATGAAGTTATATAAGAAATGGAAATAAATAGTAAAATTAAGATATTGCGAATAGAATAGTTAGATAGAAAATTGAGATATTGTAAAGTCTATCAAAATGTACAGACAACGCATAATATAATATCATATATAATCATAATATATTATATCATATAATATAATCATAATACTTGGTAAGAGATAGCAAATGCATTTCCTACTATCGACATAGGAATTTCGATTTTATTCAATTATAATTAACTGTTTATTTTTATATATATATATATTCAAGTAAAGTTTTTTTAATTTTATGAAATGAACTCATTGTAACTCTTTTTCGTTCTTCATTTCTTAAAGGGTATGTTTATGTTGTTCAACCCTTATATATAATTTTGTTCATAGTTCAAGTGATTCATTCATAGTTTTAATTGTTTTGTTCATAATTTTAAATGCTCTGTACATAGTCTTATCTGTATTGTATATAGCTTGTGCACCTATGGTTTTCTTTACTTTTTATTTTATTTTATCAATTTTATTTATTGTTTCAAACGTTTAGGCCAGTAATATTCTATTATTTTGTACATTATTGTTATTCTGAAGGGACTTAGCCCCAGAATAAAGTTTTTGTTTTCTATCTATCTATCTATAATTAAGAGTTAAAACAGAGAAAAGGAACGAAAGGAAGGAGGAAAGAAAACAAACCTGTCTCCAAAGGTGTAAAACAGAGAAATGAGAGTGATAGCCAGGGAGGAGGAAGAGAAGATATGCATAGTGGCGTCACCTCTAACGGTTATCTGATGAAGTTTGAACTAAAGTACCGGAAGCGTAAATAAGGACCAGAGATATATTACTGCGTAACAATATATATAAAATAACAATATATATATATATTGTAATGTCAACATTACATGGCATTTAAATAGTGGCGCGAAAGTGATAACAACACGAACTACGGGAAGCAAGTGGTGGGGGAAGCAAGCCTCATGTAACTCAGAATGTGACGGGCCGCCAGGCGAGAAGGTGATAGCAGCCAAGAGAGGAGGTTAGGAGCCGCCAAGAGAAAATGTGACAAGCTGTCAAGAGAGAAGGTACTAGCCAGCAAGTTGAGAAAATAGAAAGAGCCACAAAGTTTAGACTGGGACAGTAAAGGTTTTTGAAAACAATAATAAATTTTATATGTATATTTAGTGTATTTAGTAATTAGTGAATTATAGTTATTTAATGTTGAATGAGTGTTCAGTTGTCAGAACCCAACCTGAGATTTATGTTATGTGTTAAAATAAATAATATATTGAAAAAGAAAACTCGTTGTTTTGATTTTGTTGACAAAGGGTACGTTACAATATATATAAGAATAATGAACAGTTGCGTGAGATTTGTAATTGGTGCCCCGAGATACTACCATGTCTCTCACCACTACACTGAGTTAGAGTGGCTCTTCCCCTCCATTCGAAGACAATATTTCCTAGGTACATTCCTCTATCATATCATCAACAATCATCGTCCTTCCTACGCCTACAACCTTCTCCAATTCAAGTCCTCAGTCCACTCCCTCTCCACAACATCTCGACCTTCCGACCTTTACATTCCTTCTCACAGATCTGCCTCGTTTCAAAACTCTTTATTGCACGTTCTGTTAGTTTTTGGAATTCCCTTCCTATCAAAATTCGACATTCTTCATCCTTATCTACATTCAAAACCCTCCTATTCCAATTCCTGTCCCAAAAACAGTCAGGCACCAGCTAACCTTTTATGTAAAATTACATATTATCTATAAGACCATATTCACATATAGCTCATATTTGATTAGACTTTCTTTTTTTTTTTTTTTTTTTTTTTTCGACAGAAACAGATTTTACTGTTAAGAAGAATATACATTTATTTTTTCTGTATTTTTTATTTTTTCTAAAAGAGTTTATTTATATTTTAACATTGTACATAGTTTTAAGTATCTTAGTATGGTTTCAAGAGTTTTTTATATAGATTTTTTTATTTTATTTTGTATATAGTATGTATAACCAATATTTTTTTCTTTTTTTTTTTTTAATGACCTATCTTTATCTTAATTTGTTATGTTTGTTTTTATCTGGCCAGATGTAAAATTTTAATTTCTGTACTTTTTTGTTATATGAAGGGACTTCATCCCAGAATAAAATTATTTTTCTATTCTATTCTATTCTATATATATATATAATAACTATAAATATTGAGGGAGAGAGAATGTTCGGATAATTTGGAGGCAGTAAAATTACGAGAGGATACAGAATTTTTATGTTGGGTGATACGGTCTTTTAGTAGATTTTTGGGTTTCACCAATATAGGATGAAAAACAATTGGGGGTAGAACACGGAATATGGTAAACGATATGAGAGCGGTGTGAGAGAGGAACAGGATCTTTTAAGGATGTTTATTATAATAAGTAAGTGATTTTTTGTTTAATAAATTTTTCCAAAAAATTACTAAAGTTTATAATTCTTAATATTTACCTTCTAAGTGGGCTGGATATAGCTAACGGAGTAGGAACTCCGATTGTTTTTAAGCGCTGATGCATCGTAGGGGATGGGGCGACCCCAACCATCCCCCTTTCTAAATCAGGTGTGTGACTTCTTGAGCCTGGCATGTCAAGTCTGAAAAATAAAAATAAATCAGCGAGTTTTTATATATAACAGAAATTAATAACAACTATTTCACAATATTTCTCCAATTATTCCTCGGTGCATACTATTTATTTTCAAGTTTATTTATTATCAGGCATTTTACACTAATTTTCAAAATTTAAAATAAATAGTATGAGAAGGAGTTAGTCGTGGGTGCGGTCAAATAAATAAAAAAATTAAAATATATTAATCATTTTAATTTTTGCCGACGTTTCGACCCACTTTGCAGGTCGTCTTCAGGGCTACAAAAGATACAAAACATGTTGAAAATAAAAAATAAATATAAGTATATATAAAATACAAAGAAGTTGTCAGATACAGTATTTTATATATACTTATATTTATTTTTTATTTTCAACATGTTTTGTATCTTTTGTAGCCCTGAAGACGACCTGCAAAGTGGGTCAAAACGTCGGCAAAAATTAAAATAATTAATATATTTTAATTTTTTTATTTATTTGACCGCACCCTCGACTAACTCCTTCTTATATTATATCAACGGTCAACCATCTCTACATCATTATAAAATAAATAGTCTTTCCCCTACTCCTTTAAGAAAATCCAGTCACTGAATAGAAATGAGACGAATGACATGTCGATGACACATTACAAGGTAATTTTAACTTATTTGAATCATTTAATAATAAATAATTGAGTAATAATAATGTTATAAAATAATTAAAGGTGGACATGTCAAAAATAAATAATTTTTATTATGAGTAGACGCATGCAATTCGCATGAGTGAAAAGAACAGGTACATGATTGGTAATTTAGGTATACAAAAAGAATATCTATATGTTGAAGTATGTAATGTTTTTAATTATGATTGTAAATTGTAAAAGTTTTTTTAGACTTGAAATTGGCTTAGCGAGCCGAAACGTCGTAATTAAATGTATAGTCATTAAGTTGATTAAATTTTGAAAATTGGTGTAAAATGGCTGATAATAAATAAACTTGAAAACAACTATTTCTTTATATATCTTTCAGGATACAAGTAATCATTTTTTAATCAAGTTTTCCCGATAACAGAGAATAAAATTGTGAGTGTAATCCAGAGATTTTAAATAGTTGCTTCCAGTGTAACACTTGAAGAGAGTTCAGGTAAGTGCTTTATAAGGGAGTACTGTATACAGTTAATAAAAACAAAACAAATTTTAAATAGATTTCATGTGCGAGGGTTGCTTCTTTCGGTACAATGGAAGTACAAAAGAATTAATAAAATAAATAAATTTAACTTTAAAATTATGCAATTATGATTAAAAACGAATGAATTAACATAGGGTCTCCTGATTCCAAGATAAATCTAAAGGTGATATAAAAGAATACAAAAATATCTGAAACAGCTGGACTTGAATCCAGAACCATGAGAATAGTAAGAAATATATATTGTGAGGTTTATAATATAGAGTAACCAATACGATCAGTCATGAATGACAGTAATAAGACTAATAATTAATTAATACTAAATAATTAATATGTAGGGTAAAAAAAAAACTTACACAATAGTTAAAGATTAATTTTTTGTATAAGTAAAATGTGAAGCTTTCCATATTTTAAAAAATTAATTTATTGCCCCCTTCATTATTTAAAAAAAAAAATAGTTGAAGTTCGTTTGCAAAAATATAAACTTGGGATATGAAAAACTATTTATTTTAAATGAAAACCAGGAATGTACATAGGTTGTGAGGCCTAGGTAAATTATGGAGGAGAGGGGGGGATGCTTTAGGGCTGAAGCCCCTCTCCCCCCTCAAAATGGTAAAATGTAACCAGGTTTTATTGAAAAAAAAAAAAAATCTTTTAAAGTATTATTGTCCGTGTAATTACCTTTGATAGGACTTCAAGAATCACTATGCAAACACCATTGCATATATTTAGTTAGAGTTCTTTTTTTTTTTTTCTAAAGTAATTATTGTCTTTTTTTTTCATATTTAAAAAGACAAATATGAAATTGTATCAATAAACATGTTAAAATGTGTAACACCAAAAAATATTTTTAAAAAATGTGACAAATATTTGATTTTTGACAAATGGTGCCAAATCAAAAAAAGAAAGTAAAGATAAAGATTGCTCTGATGATGGAAAAAATGTCCCGAAACGTAAGAGACAACAAATTTTATTAAAAGAATTTGAAGAAAATTTGAAGATTTATTGCCTTAAATATAAAAATATTATAAACGTAGGCTTCCTAATAAAAACAGAAAAATAAGAAGATAATTATTGTCATATATATAAATGAATAGCTTTCGAGGCGAAGCCCCCAAAAATTAAATTCTGGATCCGCTAGTGACCTACCTAGTAGTTAGGTTAGTCTCCCCACTACTTTTATCTCTGTCTCCTCTCCGCTTCTCATGATTGAAGCTTTGATTTCAAGCGGACCCTACACAATAATTCATGAATAACAGTCAAATGACTGACAAGAAATGCTTCAATCATACACGTATCAATCATACTGATGCATTTTTAGCTCAGTTGACGTTTTGAGATAACAGATAGGGTGGGATCTGGTACATTATCCATTTATAATAATGTGTTTAATTAAAAAGGCTTATTGAGTCATTATCCTTTACAGCATTGGACATCAAGAGAAAAATGGAGATATAATAATTACTTCCTGAAAATCATTAGGACAAAAGTTAGAAAAATATTTTTTTTTTTTTAATGAAATTTACAACTGTATTACATTAAAAATACAACAAGTAAATGTGACATTGGTAACATGACATGTACAACCTGAAGAGAAACTACCCATTGGTAGAACTCAAATTAAAGTTCTATATTAGAAGGTCCTGAGGCCACCTTCTTTTCAGACGCCTCGGAGGGTTATCAGGGATCGAGGAGGAAGCAAGGTTTGAAACGAGAGGGTTCAGATGGTTCTGTAGTTTGTTATGGAAGGATAGGTATCTGGATTGGGCCAAATCGTAAACATATGGAACATTAAGGTCTTTATGGATGATTTTGTTTGTGACAAAGTAAGGAGCGTTGAGGATTTTATGAAGGATTTTGGATTGGATATGAGAGGAATTCGATGGTTTAGTGGAGCCTCAAAGCTCAATTCCGTTAGAAAAATATAAGTCTACACAACTTACAAAAATTAAGGAAAAGTAATGCAAACATTATAAATTTGTTGAAAAAGTGGAAAAAGAACTGCCAAATATACACAACAGTTAAAGATTAATTTTTTTTTCTATAAGTACATTGTGAAGTTTCCACTTTTTTAAAAATTTATTGCCCACTTATTGTTCTGCATCAGGATTTTTGGAAATCCGTCAGCCCCTTCGATCTGTACATAAATCCTTACCTTACATGATCAATCAGAATGTCAGTCATGCCTTGGAATATCATTCCAACTGATCATGTAGGGTTCGCTTATGAACAGTACTTACTGTGTTACCTCTTTACTAGAGTTTCTATCAAGTGAGTATTCTTGTAATTAAGTAAGAAAAAAAACCTGGCGGTTGAGCATGATATCGGTCATATCACTTCCTTACGCAACTATTGATCAAGAAACAGAATTTCCTTGTACTTAGTACTGAAATCAGGATTCTCCGTGAGTTATAGAGGTATTAACCTGAATGCAGATACTAAGAAAAAGGACCAAAAGTTAGGATTAAGGATAGCTCTTTCAGGAAAGGAGGAAAACAAAATATGAGTTAACAAAAAAATGTCTAATATATCTTCAAACAGACTGCCTTGAGATTTTGAACAAAATAAGGCTATTTTTTCTACCCCAAATATATCTCCACCATAAACATACCTGCAGTTATATTAAACAATTCAAAACTAATGTTTTTTTTTTTTTAATATGACTAACAATATGTATGTATTTATTAATTTTAAATCAGAAGAAATATTAAAGGAAAACACTTTTTTAAAGCTTATTTAGGACAATACGTCCTTCACAGAAGTCTAAAATTTCTTCAGAACCTCTAAGGAATCTGAGGATAAACAAAATTAATCGAAATAACTAACAGTTTACTTGTGCTTGTCTAAATATAATAATAAAATTTTACCAACATCACTACGATAAAATGTGTACTTCAAAAATTAATTAATAATTAAAGTTATTACACAATAGATTAATTCTACAAATAGCATGTAAGGATATTTACTTTCAAGCGAAGAATTTAATGTTCTATACGTGAATACTGTAACGCAGGAGTGGACAATTTAATAGATTTACACATTCAGCAGAAGGAAACTGGAAAAATAGAAATTTGCAAGTATGACAGACATAGTAATTTTAAAAGCACTAATGAATGATTTTAATAATAGAGTATAAGTTATTTAGCATTAATAACTTAATAATTATATCGCTAAATAAACATATTTTTTTGTTACTAGTATAAAATAGTAATTTTACAAGTTATAAGTTTCTTCTGTAATTATTAAATCTTATGGGTAAGGTAACTATGTAGAAATTGTTTTTTAAAAGTAAAAACATCAGATTATATGTAATAGTCTCGATTATAAAAGACTCAAAACTTTATATTGATGATTAAAAATAGATTTTATCTCCAAGGATTGTATTATGGAAAGTGGCAGCACAAAAAAACAAAAACAAAATCAGTTAAAAATTATACAATTATTAACATAAGCAATAAAAAAAAGGAAAAAGTCCAAGGATTTAGATAAAAATCTCAAATCAAGGATTTACGATAATATACAGTTCTAATATACAGCTGTGAGAGCTGGACATTAACCTGCGCCCTAGAAAACAGTATTGAAAGATTTGAGAGAAAAATCCTCTGCACGATAACCGAAACGATTGGAGATCAACTAACAAAGAGCTGCTTACAGAAACTGGTCAATCAATACCTCATGATATGAAGACACAAAGGTTAAGACGGACGGGGCATGTAGCTCAAAGCAATCTATCTGGAAGCCTTTACACGACAATGAATGCCTCAATAGTAGGCAAAATACCAGACCATATGGAAGGGCAAAAAGCAGATGGATAGATTGAATCGAC